GCTGGTTCTGCATCATCCTAGGTCTATGGTTGAAGGTCAGCAAATCTCTTGGAACTGGGATGACCGAAGGTCAAAGTCTGTATCCCCTAAAGTTAGTTCCTAGGATTCTTATACAAACATGCTGCTAATCTACAAGCTACGTATTAGTCAGAGTCAGCATTTACAGAAACAATAAAAAGAATGGTGGGGTAGGTTACAGTTCCCCACTGTTACAGTAGCAGCTGGCCCTTTGCAGGGTTTAGATGCCCTCGCAAACCTGCAGGACACCCTCATTACAGCCTCCTGACCGCTTCCACTCACTTCTGCATACTTGCCTGGCTCCTAGGCTCGATTCTCCCTCCCCCAGCTGTGATCCAAATCCTGGATTTTTTTTCTTTTTCTGGTAACTACCCAGAAGCATCCCCCAGCCCCAGAAGCATCCCCCAGCCCCATGCCTCCTGGATCTGAGGACCTGCCCAGGCCCTTTCTGGGGGTGAGGAAGGAGGAGCTAACATTTCCTGAGTGGCTTCAATGTGCCAGCCCCTCTTCCAGCCATGTTGATGTGTGTCATCCTTTATATCCTCATAGCAGTTGTACAAGGATGACCTAGTCCCCAACATACAGACGAACAACACTGAAGCTACTGAAGCTTGGAGACAGTACAGGCATTTCCCAAGGCCACCTGGCTAGCAGGTGCAGAAGCGGAGGTTTGAAGTGTGGTCAGCTGGCTTGAAAGCTCTGTGTTCTTAACGCTCCACCCTGGGCCTCCCAGGGACTGATGCACAGCTCTGATCTCAGCTGAGTCCGGCCCCTGACCTGCCAGCCACACTGACACCCAGTGACTTCTAAGTGCTGCTCACCTTGGACTTGCCACAGTTCTGTCCTCTCCCTCGTGTGGGGTCCCTCTCTGTGGTGCCTTGACCTCGTGTTGGCAACCAGCCTTTGGGAAAAAGGAGCACTCTGAAGTCACCTGCTCTGTGACCCTGAGCAAGTTTATTTGCTTCTCTGAGCCTTGGTTTCGTCTGGAATGTGTGGTCATAAAGCTCATCTCAGTGGTTGTATAGATGCAAAATCCTTTAAAATCCTGAATTTAGAAGCTTGTTTCTTTGTCCATGAGTCTGGACTAATGGTTTCAATATCTTTGTTGTAAAGATGAGTGTTTTTAAAAACCGAGATGGCCCTTGCAGAGGGCTTTACAGATGGTATTGCTACTGAAATCACTCAATTGCATTGTATACAAAATAGGCTATAATAATGTCAGCCACTAGGCAACAAAAGCGGAGGGAATCATGGCATTTGCAAGCGTATCTTGTCACAATGTCTCTCCAGGAGGGGCCTCTGCGACCACTGCTGACAGTTTTCTTCAGGCTCCCTCACTGTTTTTCGTTGTTTAAAGACACACATTAATTTAAAGTCTCCTCCCATTCTCTCTGAAAATTACAGCATTCAGATGAAGTGGCAGCTGCTGTAATTAAGACACAGTTAATTGCCTGTCTCCTTAATTGCAATGATAGGATTTTGACAGTTTGGTAAATAAGAATTGTTTGGTTTCCTCTGGCAATTTCAGCCTGGGCTCCGCTCACAAGTGCTGAGTCACCCGATTCTGGGACAAAGGGCTGCGTCCAGGGAGACAGGATGGGAGAGGAGCCGTGAGTTACCTGCAGTCCCCTCTCTTTCTGCAGGAACCTCCCCAACATCACCTACTCTGTTGCCGGATAAACTCCTCCCAGGAGTTTTCTCCATATTAGTCTGTCATCCCATGAGATGACAAAATGGGAAACCACAGAAGCAGGAGACCTGGGTCCGGGGGCAATGATTTCTGCTGCCAGTGGGCACAGGGGACATCCTGCTGTCAGACAAGGAAACAGAAGCCCAAGTGTGAGCACACCCAAAGTCAGGGAGCAACTTACTGAGTGCCCGCCCCGCTCTCTGACCTCGGGCTTCCCACGGTGCTCGAAGGGTGCTCCATGGAGACCCAAGAAAACTGATGGTTCAGACAAGACCTTCAGGGCCACACAGGCCTGGGTTCAGAGCCTCCCTTTACTCTTCTTGCTCATGTAACAATAGGCAAGTTACGGAATGTTTGGGGGCCTCATTTGCTTCCATTACAAATGGATTCTGCAGTACCCACCTCATAAGATTGTGAGAATTAAACAATCGTGCAAAGTGCTTTAGCAACATGGCAGGCTGCTGGGAAGAGCTCAACAGGTGACTTAGCAAGTATGACTCTTGCAAGCCTGCTGTGGACACTACTGATGTTTTCTTGTTTGTTTTTGATGAAGGGTGGTCTACGTGAACATACTGGCCATTCTGGTCTTCAAAGGTTATGACTTGCTATTCTATATAGTAGTGCCACTGTGATGCTCCATGGATTGGTTTAAACTATATTTGTAAACAATTAAAAGCCTCCTTTGAGCCCTGGCTAGTGTGGCTCAGTTGGTTGGGCATCGTCACGTGCACGGAAAGGTGGCCGGTTAGATTCTGGGTCAGGGCACATGCCCAGGTTTTGGGGTCTATCACCAGTGGGGTTGTGTGCAGGAGGCTGCCAATCGATGTTTCACTCGCATCAGTGTTTCTCTCTCTCCCTCTCCCTTCCTCTCTCTAAAAAAAAAAAAGCAGGAGGCGGCCTAATCTAGTCTTGGACAGGCAGAGCTGGACTCCTCTGTCCCTCGTGCCAGCCCTGCTTCCTCAATTCCAACTTGCAAAGGGCAGAACTTGCCAATACAACACCACCCAGATCATTGACCTTATGTGGTTATTGCAATAATTTTTATAGAAAAGAAAGAACTAGTGATTAAATAATCTGGGTTAGCCCGGCTGGCATGGCTCACCGGTTAAGCATCGACCTTGGATCCAGGAGATCGTGGTTCAGTTCCCAGGTTGCGGGCTTCATACCCAGTGGGGAGCAGGCAGAAGAGAGCCGATCAATGACTCTCTCATGATGGATGTTTCTATCTCTCTCTCCCTTCCTCTCTCTGAAATCAATAAAGATATATTAAAAATACATATATATTTTTAAAAATAATAATAATAATAATCTGGGTTATTTGCCCACATGGTTCTCCTTCCCACACAAATTGTCACCCTTTCTTTCTTGTGCAGCTGGGCTTTCCTAGAGACCAAAGGACCCCTACTTTTCTTAAGCCCAAGACCTGAAAGACATCACCTAGCAAAACTTTCTAACCCAGAGTGCATCACAATAGCATCACAATAGTGAATATTCATTCACACTCAACTTTGAGTGATGTAAAGGAAATAAGTCCCACAACTCTGCAGGCTGCCTTTGCTATGCACCCAACACCAAGAGACAGCCAAATAACCAGTCCTCAGAGGACCACTTTTTAAAGCAAGAAGTTCTCCACCCCCTGCAGCCCAAGCAGGTAACACCAGTATGGGGGCTACTGCCCCTATCTCTCACTTCGCGGTTGCATTTGTAAATAGTGTTACCAAATAGTGATTGCATTCTGAATGTTCTAGAAAGAGACGAGCCCACGATTTACAGACATTTGGGGCAAACATTTTCTAAAGCCAAGAATTTGTTTACGAAGTGAATATTCATTCACACTCAACTCTGAATTATTTGAATGGTTTTAGCTCAACTTTTTTTTTATCTTAGAAATGGGGTCTCCCTACATCAAGGTATCTGGCTGTCTACGATGCAAGAACAAAGCTTAAAAACTGTTGACTAGGTTACTGAGTTGACTGATGGATAGAGTTTGCTGCTTTATTTCACCTCCAAGTAGGTTTTTACAGCAACTAGAAAGATTTCAAACTAGATTCCATTATAACAGTATAGACTGGAATCCAATAGAGCCTGTTCATTATATAATGTGTTTTTGCTTTTGGCAGTGGAGTGATTATAAAACAAAAAGAAATGGAAAAAGAACGAAAGAGAGAACCTGAGTCGACACTATGGGGCTCTGTGCCCACTGGGCTTTAGTCCACTAGCTGGGACATGCTGGAGAGAATGCAAGATATTCGGGACACGTGTGCTCCTAACAAGGACAATCCCAAGTGTGCCTTTGATGATGGAGAGATTGCTCAGTGCCTAGAAATTCTGAATCAGCACCACAGGGAATTATCCAGTCCCGGGTGGCCATGCTTTGGCCACGTAACAGCCCACTCTGAGTCTAAGCCGAAGCTCCCAGAATAATCACAAGACTCTCTGGGAGTGATCACAGACCTGTCATTGTGCATACTTACAAGGTTCCTCTACGGAATATGTAACGGATGCCCAATCTCATCTTCTGTGATTAGTAACCATCTCTTGAACACATAAGAAAATGTAGTTGGCAACAAGATATGTCAGGGCATTTTATTTCAGTTGATCTGATAAATTGATTTATAAGCAACACCAAAAGCCAGCTTTTTTTTTTTTTTTAATATGTTTTTATTGATTTCAGAGAGGGAAAGGGAGAGGGAGAGAGAGATAGAAACTTCAATAATAAGAGAGTCATTGATCGGCTGCCTCCTGCACACCCCCTACTGCCTTGAGCCCACAACCCGGGCATGTGCCCTGACCGGGAATCGAACTGTTACCTTCTGGATCATATGTCGATGCTCAACCACTGAACCACGCCAGCTGGGCTAAAAGCCAGCTTTTATTAACCAATGTCACCCCAATAAATTGCATTTAAAAGTACAAAAGCATAGATTCAAATACCAATTTCGAATGTGAGAACTAGGAACACATGTTAAGCTCGCCATCCTCTGCATACTCACAGCCAACACTGCACAACCTTTGTTCTTCGCACTACAAGCCACATAACTTTCATCTCCTTTAAAATATATTATTTTTTAGTTCCCTTAATAGAGATTCTTTCTCCGATATGCCCCGAGTAAACTTCTTCTACAGCAAGCATGAGTTTCATCTCTCCTCATCCTACCTTTCACTGAATGTTCAATTAGGCCAGGAAAACTATTTCCTTCCCTAAAAAGCCTAGCAGAAGCTAGACTGTAGTCTAGCTCTCACCTGGAAATGTGACTCTTCTTTCATTTTTTTTTTCAGAATCCCACTCATCATGACTGCCATCCGGCTACGAGAGTTTGTTGACCGCCGCCCATTGATCCCACCCAGGTAATGTCCCTCCAGAGGCAGACAGGCACCTGGGGGATTGGAACTGCTCACCCTGCTGCTCTGTGACTGACAGACAGCTGCTGCCAAGGGTGCTAGTCAAGTTTCTTTGGGCTTAGTTGTAAAAAAAAAAAAAAAAAGAAAGAAAGAAATTCCCACACTCGTGGCAGAATCCAAGCAAATAAGCAACTACAAAGTCCCAAAAGACTGAAGGACATTGGTTTTTGCCTGAGAAGGGCTTTAGCCAGAATGAGGGACCCCTTTACTCTATTTGGAACCAAACAAAACACTCCTATGCTTCTGCCATGTGGGAGGTGACTGCACAGACAGAAACTAGGGACGAGATCCACTCTCTCTCCAAGTTCATCCATGGCCCAGGAATAACAACAAGTCCTAGACATGTTTTATTGGGCTAAATCCATCTTGCTGAGAGGTTGTACAACAGTCTGTAAATCCTAGCCCCACCCTCCCTTCCCCCTCTTCATGGGATCTACAGAGATTTTCAAGCTATGAAGTTGGGCTGGGAACTCTCACATAGCAAGTGACTTCGGGGCCAGCCTCCTGCAGCCCCATTGACTTCATGGTGTTGAGCAAGCCTCGTGTTTATTATAGTATTTGGTTAATTTTAACAATATTTAGTCAACAAAGATATGTTCTTCTGCTTCCAGAAATTACTGGAAGAGAAAGGAGGGAGGCAGGTAAGGGAGAGCCCTCTTTCAGAGAAAACACAGAGCCTACCTTTCCCTCCCTGAAGCCCAGGAGAGGAGGGAGCAGTGTGGTCCAGTCTCTCTGGATGTCTGTCTCCCCACAAGTGTTTGGTCTTCCAATGTGTATTTGACATCTGTTTTGTCCATAGTTGGGTGGGTGTATTTAACTCTGGTCTCAGCTCCTGGGGAAAATGGAAACAAACTTCCCTTTGTGGCTGCTGCCTGGGGCTCAGTGGACCCAAGTCAGTCACGGGACCTGGCCTGAGCCAGCTCATGGGGAGCCTGAGGATTTGGCTGGAACATGGTGTGACAGGCACCGAAGTCCCAAGGCAGCGTGGATTCGGTTCTCTGTGTTCATCCATCAGAGCCCCACTAGGAGGCCTGCTGTCTGAGCTACACTGGGTCCCCCTTTCTAGCCACCCCCCCGACCCTTTACTACTCACTATAGAGCAGGGCTCTGTCTATTTTCTGCCTTCCCTGCCTTGGTAACAATTGTGGGTCCAATCCACCAGCAAGCTCAATCCTACCTCCAGGATAGATCTCCCATGGAAAAGATTGTCACCATCTCCACTGCCAGCACTTGGTCCAGACCACCATGGCCTCTCCCCTACCTATCTACACCTAGCACCACTCTTGTTTTCCTACAACCCATTCTCTGGAGCGAGCTTCATGAAGTACAAATTGGATCAAAACCATCCCCCTTGCAATAAAACCCTGCAATTACTGCATTTTGCATAAAATCCAAACTCGTTGCCAGGGCCTACTAAGACTTACGTGAACTGGCCTTGCCCATCTACAAAGCCCCTTCTCCCATTCCTTCAGTGGGCTCACTCCTTCAGACCTCAGGGCTTTTGCACATGTTCTTTCTCCCTGGATTGATTCCTCTCCACCCCGGCCTGCCCTGTCTTAACTAGTCCATGCTTAGCTCATTGTCAGCTGCTCAGAAAGCTACTCCTTGGCCACCCTGGCTAGAGAAGGTCTTCTCTCCACCTCCCCACCTCTGCTATTCTCCATCTCACACCCTTTTTAGAAACAGGGCCCCATGGCCCTTATTACAACTCATTTTATTTCTTGCTGTTCTCACCCACTAGAATAATAGTTAATATTCATGCTGCTCTTGTTCTGTGCCAAGCACTATTCTTTTTGTGTGTTTTTTAAAATTGATTTGAGAGAGAGAGAGAGAAACATCAATTTGTTGTTCCACTTACTGATGGTTGATTGTTGTATGTGCCCTGACCAAGGATCAAACCTGAAACCTTGGCGGATCAGGATGACTCTCTGACCAACTGAGCTACCCGGCCAGGGCGGCAGGCACTGTTCTAAGCGCATGTTAACTTAATCTTCACAACCGTGAGGTACAGATGAGGAGGTACAACTGAGGCTCAGAGTGGTCGTGTGGCATCCCAAGGTCCCACAGCTAGAGAGGAATGGCAGAGGTAGGATTCGAACCCACTGGACTGGCTCCAAAGCTGTGCTACTGACTCCCGCTCTTTACTACACCTTCTGGTTGGCTCCTCTAGGGTGGGCTTGTTTGCCTGTCTCTACAACCCACCATCATCACCTCTGCTTAGCTGATTGCCATACATGGTGGGCCTTACACATATTTGTTGAAAAAAAATGAGAATGAATGAATCAATTATTCATTGAGAAAAAATTATTCTGTCACTTGTATGTGGTTCGGCTTCCTGGTGACTGACAGTACCTGAAGAAGACCCGCCCTTCTGCCGATCCTTTGGCACAAGCATTTATCCAATCCACCCTTAAAAGTCCAACCCTGGGGCCTATATGAGGGGGAACTGAATTACAACCCAGTAGGGCCACCTAATAAAATGAAATAATCCATGGTTCTCAAGCAGTAGTAGTGACCACACAGAACTTTCATAAAAAGAATTATATCAGGCACAAATGTTAACTTGTGCCGACCCCAACCTACAGGCCTGTCACTCAAGAGCAGGGCTGGGCATCGTATTGGTTTGTAGAGCCCAGGATGCTCCCGAAAAGACCACTTCAGGTGGAATGTACTCGGGATAGTGTGGAAGAGAAGAATTTGTGTCAGACTCAAATGGATTTTAAAAATGCTGATTGGAAACTGTCTCTGAGAGATCAAGAGGCAGCTCTGGGGTCAGCTCAACACCTAACACAGATGGGATATCTCAGTCGACAAGGACAGTCCCAGATGTCTCATGGACTCTCATGTAATCAATCACTAATGGAGATGATAGTATCACCCCTACTTAATGAATGAGGAAACTGAAGCTTCCCGCTTCCTTGAGGAGATACTGTGGAGATAGCTGACTCTAGGGGACAAGTCCCAGCATGGTGGCCTTCATCTTCTGTCCTTATCAGCTCGTGTCCTTGCTGAGTTACCTACCTCCCACCCCCTGGAGTCTCAGTTTCCTGATTGGTTAGTGGCCTGAATGCAGCTTTCCTTACAGATTTTAAACTCCGGAGTGGAAAGACAATATTTATTATCACTATATCCCTAGCACACTGCAAATGCGTCAGAGTATGTGTTTTATCGAATTAAACAGATGCATGTGTTTGTCTTACTGAGTTGAAAGCAGCTCCCGGCTAACACTGCCCTGCCCTTCTTTCCTTTCCTATTCCTTTGGTCCACTATGTCTGCTTCCTGCCAGCCCGTAAGTCAGGCAATCACCAAAAGAGCGCTGAACTCTTCTGGAAAAAAGTAATCATAAAACATACGGATGATTCTGGATGCAACGTGGAATTTGGATTGGAGAACTGGGTTAGACTCATGGCTCTGGCATCTACTAGCTGGGTAATAATTAGAAAGCCCATCACCCTAGCCGCTTTGCTCAGTGGTTAGAGTGTCAGCCGGAGGACTGAAGGATCCCGGGTTCGATTCCAGCCAAGGGCAGGTACCTCGGTTGCAGGCTTGATTCCTGGCCCTGGTCAGGGCAGGGGCAGGAGGCAACCAATTGATGTGTCTCTCTCACATCAGTGCTTCTCTCTCTCTCTCGCTCTCTCACCTCCTTCCACTCTCTCTGAAAAACAATGGAAAAAATATCCTTTGGTGAGAATTAAAATAATAATAATAATAAATTTTAAAAAAGAAAGTCGGCTTAACGTCTCTGAGCCTCAGCCACCTCTTCTGTCACCAGGTGTAAATATTTACCTGGCAAGGTGACCATGAGAATTAGATGAGATCATCTCTGGGCAGACACTCGCTGAAGCTGGAGGCACAGACAATACAGAGAATTGCAGAGCCAGAGACACAGCCACAGACACAGCTGCCTCTGGCCGCGGGGCCAGGCTCCTGAGGGACAAACGCTCCTGACCTCCCCCGTGAATATCGAATTGTGTCTGCGGCCCAGCACAGGCCCTGCTCGGGTTACATTCGCCCTCCCAGGGGACAGGCTTGCTCTTGTCTGAACTGAGCGCGCCACCTCAAATCGCGCAGCTCTCCTGGACGGGTAAATAATGCACGGTGCAGTCAGACGCGGGTGGGCCCCCGCTCCCACCCGAAGAGAAGCAACGGCCTTCCCACAGCTGGTCCAAGAACCGGGCGGGTGTGAGCCGAGTCGGGGCAGCGCTCCTTGGCGGGTCTGGAGAGCTGGCACGTGCCTGTCCGTCTTGCCCCACACCCACCCCACCTTGGGGGAGGCCGGGTACTGACATTTCCCCTTAGGTGGTCAAAATTCGCTTCCAAAAACTGATGTTTTAGCCTCTTTGCTGGGGGCTTTCTCCTGTTTGAGGCGAAGGCCACACGGGAGAGGTTGGAAAGTCTACCCAAGGGGTTGGAGGCCAAGTGCGCCACCTTCATCCCCTAAACCTGCTTTTCCACCCAGCCCCCACCCTCTGACACCCACCTACCTGCTTATACTGGTCCCCGCCCTCCGTTCCTGGGCCAAAACCTGCCCAGGGACACTCCCAAGGGACCACAGCAGGTGTGTTAGCTGGTGCGGGTGACGGGCTCCTCCTCCTGCAAACAGCTTGTGCAGACCGCGTCTAAGGAGGGGTGAGCGCCTGTGCTCAGCAGGTATTGGTCGTGTGCACGCTAGGGAAGGGTTCATGGTCAAAGCGAGCCTCCTGCAAGCAGCAGAGCAACCATGAGAAGCCAGTGTCGCTTTGAAGCTCCAGTTGGAGTCTAAGAACCTGTAACGTGGCCCTGGCGTAATCATTTCCAAGGTCGTGCTTCAGAGCCTGGCTGGCACCTGAGAAAGCTAGGTCTCCCACTCCCCTGCCTTCAGAAGTGTCATTCGTTCCCTATTATTGTGCCAATTCCTCTCACGTCTTATGACTTAACCCCCCGCTGTTATTTACTATCCAGGCTCAGTCATCTTATCCCAGCCGCTGGGCAGGCCCAGACGGCCTGTGGTTTCTCTGCAAATCAAAGTTCCCTGAGGTCCTGTTTGCAGAGACAGACAGACCCGCCCTGCTCACAGCGCTTCCTTTCATACTAGCTAGACAACGAGGGTCCCCTGCTCCCCACACTTTCCACTCTGGTCCCGACTCTGTCCAAGTCGAGTTCTGAAATTGCCCTCACCTGGAGTCTCGTCCCCATCCTACTTGCCTGCCCAAGCCCTAGACACCCGCCCAAACCCTAGGCCCACTGACCTTCATACAGATCACTGTTTCAGCACATAAAGAGAATTGTGAGAACAAGCGCTGCTTCTGAGTCAGCTAGGACCTAGCGGGGGATCTAGTCAAACTGTCCTCAAATTTGTTTTCTGCCACCAGCAGCAAAAATGTCCTTAAAATAAAAATTGTATTATGTCATCTTAAAAAAATCCTACAAAGCCCGGCTGGGGTGGCTCAGTTGGTTGAGCATGATCCCATGCACCAAGAGGTCACCATGTACCAGGAGGTTGCTGGTTCGATTCCCAGTCAGGGCACATGCCCGGGTTGTGGGCTTGATCCCCAGTAGGGAGCGTGCAGGAGGCAGCCCATTGATGTCTCTCTCTCTCTCCCTCTCCCTTCCTCTGTCTCTAAAATCAATTAAAACATATATTTTTTAAAATCCCAGAAAGATTCTGTCACCTACATCAGTGGTTCTCAATTTTTCAGATGCACATTCCCTTTTTTTTTTTTTATAACAAATGTCTTGTAATGTCCCTATTATTTTTAGAAATAAAATATGTAAGTAACAGAATCCAGCTACACATAATTTTAAAATATCCATAGAATGCTCAACTGTAATCTAAAAGGAAGAGTGATTCATTATAAAATGAGATGGATTTCAAAATATAGGGTCTGGACCCCCCCCCC